AGCCCAGAAATACAATCAATATCCTGAGCTGCATCCAAAGCAGTGTGGTCAGCAGGTCGAGGGAGGTGATTCTGCTCCTCTACTCCACTCCTGTGAGATTCCACCTGGAGTACTGCATCCATCTCTGGGATCCCCAACATAGGAAGAACATGGACTTGTTGAAGCAGGACTAGAGGAAGGCCATGAAGATGATTAGAGGGATGGAGTACCTCTCCTATGAAGAAAGGCTGAGAAAGTTGTGGTTATTCAGCCTGAAGAAGAGAAGGCTCCGAGCTGACCTAATTGTGGTCTTTTGGTTCCTCCAGGAAGGCTGGAGAGGGACTTTTCACAAGGGCATGTAGTGATAGGACTAGGGGGAATGGCTTTAAACTGAAGCAGGGTAAGTTTAGATTAGATAGTGGGAAGAAATTCTTCACTATGAGATAGTGGAATAGGTTGTCCAGGGAAGTTGTGGATCCTCCATCCCTGTTTCAAGGCCAGGCTGGACAGGGATTTGAGCAACCTGGTCTATTTGAAGATGTCCCTGCACATCCAGGGGAGTTGGAAATAGATGACCTTTAAAGGTCCCTTCCAACCCAAATTCTTCTATGATTTTAAATGACCTGGAAATTCTTTAGGGTCTGATGTTTTGAACCAAATGAACCTTTTAGGTTATGACTTGGCCCTAAATGAGTAGGATATTTAAAATAATGATAATATTATTCAACATGGATTAATTTAATTTGAAATAGGACTCAATCCTTCATAAGCACTGTAGAAGTGAGCTGCTGGATGTGATTTTATAAGCTTGAGCTCAGGGATTTTTTTGTTTCTTTTCAATGTTCATCTTCCTCACTACACACGGAGGGTACAGGATAGATTCAACCCAGATCAGACAGATAGGCAGCCTGAGATCTGCCTTAGTCACACCTGCAACTGCAGACTTTGTGCCAAAGCTGCAGGCACATTCAGCAGATGGCTAGGAGCTTTTAGGGGTTGATGAAACACATGGAGTCATTGTCAACATCTACACACAGGAAAGTAAGAGAGATTTTCCCTCTCACACACACAGCCACTCTATTTGGGGAATTAAATTGCAGATTAAAAAAAAAAAATCCAACTCAAATTTGGTAGAAAAAATAGGACACTGACACCAGAAATGAAACTACCACAAGAGTCTTATATTAAAGGTTACCCCCAAATAGTCAGAAGCAGCTCTGACTTGCATTAATACTTTCATGTTTGTATTCATAGTCCTCTAAAAGTCTTACTGCTTCATTTTCTTCTTTAACTTCAGACAGTCACATGCTTGTGAAATGTTTTGCTTGACTTGGGGGGGAAGTACACTCTTCTGCTTTTCTATGCTAGATTATTAATTATGTTAAAGACTTTTCTGCCTACTAATGAAAGAAGGAGAGGATGAGGTCTCACCGAAAGCTTTTCTTTGAAGTGAAAATCTTTAGTAGAACCCTCTCATTTCTAAGGACACTATAATCATCTTGATGGGAGGAAAGAAAAAACAGGATTCTGGCTCTGTACCTATCTTCCTCCCACTCTCCCCCTTATTTTTCCTCTCCATCTTCTCCATGCACGTGTGCACGTGCGCGCACACACACATACACACACACACTCACTCTCTGGGCTATGGAAGTAGCAACCTACAATGCATGTATTTTTTGAACTGCACATTGGCATCCACACAGGTACAGTTATTTTTTCAAAATGGCCCATACCTGTAACACGTACATGCCAACACTCACACACCATCCTTCAAGGACTTTACTCTTACTCTTTTTGGTATATTTTTATGGTTTTGACCTTTATTTTCTGCACACATCCTGTCAGATCTTTTGCAAATGAATTTCATAGACACAAATATTTGCTCTAAAGTAATCTGGAATTATAAACACCCACACACGAGGAGACTTTAAACATGAATACTTTGCTATGGAAATACTTGCATTCTTCACTCAGGGAATAAAATCTGCATCTTGTCTGACCACCTCCAACCAGACAGCACAGTTTGAGTTACAATTATGCACCATAATTCCCTGTGATAGAAGAACAGTGAAAATAATTAATTCAAATGCATCCAGATAAATAATTTTAAAGTAAATGCATATTGCTGGAGGAGGCCCAACAAGCAGAAAAAAAGCCCAGTAGCCTAATATGTTATTTCTTGGGAATATCTCTGTCTGCCCTTAGGCTGATATATTCTTTGGGAACACTTTAATGCAGTTCCTATAATTAGCAAGTACTTCATAATCACCTTCAAGAGAATGAAATCTCTCTGTAACACTTGGATGTATTTTGCAGGCATCGAAGCGTACATGGTTCTTGTATCAGTAGAAGAAAAGTTGCAGGGCATGATGGGGGGGCTTTCAAACATTACCAGGAGGCATCAACATTGGTACCCTGTAGCAGACTATATCTCTCTTCTTTGAAAAATACTAGTGAAATCCTGTTCTCACTGAAGCCCCTGGGCATTTTGACAACTGCTTCCCCAGCAATCCAGCTAGGGGAATGGCTTCATTTGCAATGTGCAGAGGCGGGGTGAGGAGCGGAGAAGTATGTGTGGGCAAAGTCATGCGTTCCTTTCCTTACCTGGATGAGGATGTCACATGTGGCCTGGGCCCCTGCCTGGGAGACAGCTGGCAGCTCTCTCCCTCTTTCCCAGCCATTTCCCTTGTACCCCTTGGCCACTCCTGTTCTGCTCTGTGCACCCTTCTCCCGCTAACACCCCGAGGCTATGATGTCTACAGGCAAAATGTGTTCCTTCAAATAAGATTAACTGCCTGTGATAGTATGGAAAGATCATCATGAGGTTTTTAACTCTCTGAGTGTCCCAGGGCAAACTCTTATCTATGGGAGATGCCTTCCAGCTGCCACTGCTGCTTCCCAGTGTCTTCTATTGAGTTGGCATGCCAAGAGATGTAAAAGCGACGTCTCAATATCAATCTGATATATTATCATGCTTGGTAATTATTCTGTCAAGTGTCTTATGAGAGGAGAGAACGGTAGAAACAGCTGTGGAAAATTGGGCAAGGGCTGTTGTTCTTGTAAATATCTTTGAGCTTGATGTTCAGTAATTGCATAGCTGTAAGAAGGACCAGACTTTATAAGACATATTTCATTTGATTGTAAAACTGGCTTGGTGAAGGAAATGTCTAGAAAAGAAATTGTGTGAAAATTTTACTTCTGATAGTGCTTGCCAGGTGTTTGAGAACTTAAAAAGAATAGATGACTAAAAAAAAAAACTAAATTGTTTTAATGAAATTTTTCCACCTCTTTTTTTTTGTCTACAAATTTGAATTTGATTAGAGGGTTGCGCATTTGCAAAATGCATTAGTTGACAAACAGATCACTCCCTGGACCCCATGGATCCCTGTACCTCCTCCTGTTAGTAAGCATCCCCAATAAATTCCCTATTTCTCATTTTGAACCACAGAAGGCTTTTATGACATTTCATGTTAAAATGTATTTACCCGAAATAATTTCTCTGAAGTGATCTACAGGATTTAGACTGCTCCAGAGTATTCTGAATTATTTAGACTGTGAAAGTGCTCTATATCTCAAAAAACCAGACCAAAAATATATAACCAAATGTCTCTGTGGTAATCTGAGTAGACCAAGCCTGCACCTTATGTACAGTATAACACATAATAAAATAGCTCTTTGATTTCCATTAGAATTTCTAATGTAGTCATGTCATAGTGTTGTTCAATAACTACTGAAATACTTGGAGGGAAAAGTTGAAAACAACTGAACAAACACTAGGCAGTATTTTTGTTCGACTAAAATGTCAAAGGGGTCTATGCTTTTCAAGTACCTGAAAGCAGCTAGTTAATAGGGTGGTTTGTTCATTGTTGGAAGTTGAGGGAAAGACTAAAGCATTTGTAAGACTAACCTCTCATGCAAGGATAAGTTAGATTAATGGTTTACAAAATGTTCTAGGTAAAGAAACTCTTTTACCTGCAGGGTTTTACGTAGGCAGGCACGTGAAAAGTCTGTTTGCAGTACTGCAGGGTTGGCATGCACTGCTTATTTAGATTCTACCTGAAAAGCCGGTAGTGATTTCATGCCATCAGAATGAATTTGGAACAGAATTCATTGCTCTTTCCAAGAGAGATAATTTGTGAGCAGCCCTTTTGGTGCAGGTTAGACTTGTTCTGTCTTTAACCTTCACACCTTTTAAATCATATGCTTTTAAGGAGGATAATATAGGGACATTGAAGGACTTTGGTCAAAGTATATATAAGACCAGATTCATAAGTCCTAGATTATTTGACTATATCTAGCACAGAAATCCGGTGTGGCCTGAAGCTTGTCATCTGACTCTTTATGTACCTCAAATTCATCCTCTCTGACACAGTAAAATTTGTCCATATCCAAGGTAGGTAGATGGTATTGAAACTTATTTTTACTCTAGGACGTGATGTGTACCATGGACAAGAGAAGGCTGAAGTTTCACTTAATCACTGTTTGTATCTCTCTTTCAAATTATCAGTTCTTAAGTTGTAAGTTGAGATGGACACAGTTCTGGGAACTGCCAAGCAGTCACATATTCCATCAACTGAGGTGACAGAAGAGGGAAGTCAAGATATCCTGTGAAAGCCCAGAGAATCAGATCGTATTATAGAGCAGAGTCAGTATAGATACACACACACATACGTATAAACACATCTATGTGCAGATATCAGTCAATTAGTCTGATAAACCTAAATCATTTTGTGAGTTTATAAACTATCGAACATTCAGGCAGATTTGTTATAGCTATGGGTTAAAATGGCTATATAAATCAGACATTTCCCTTTTCAAACCCAGACACTGACACGGAATGTATATGGAGTTTATACCCTTAAGCTCTACTCTTAAGTAGGAGTAAAGAGCAGTCAGCCCATTCCCTGCCCTCCATTCCCAGGAGTGCTTTTCTGGAGAGTTCTTGTCATAAAAAGGTCTGACTTTCCACCCCAAATGAAGGTGACTATGCTTTTCTTACCATCTGTTTTCTTCTTTTACAGCTTTCAAGATGTACAAGGGGACCTCTTGGACCATGAGCCTTGGTTGTGGACATTGTTTGCCATGAGACCAATTGCCTGGGGCAGCAAGTTCTAGAAACTCCCATTTTCTCATAGTACAAAGAGCTGTCATTGTCTCTTCTGCTCAGTCATAAATGTGTCTTGCACATGTGGAAGGATTGAATACAGTCTCTAGCTCTATAGCAATAAAATTATCTTCAGATGGGAACTGTCCATACTTAATATGCTACAGTACCTTCTCATGTTCTGTAACAATAAGCTTGACACAAGCATTAAAAATTCATTAAACTGTATTCTAAAATACTTTATAGATTATATTTTTTCTCACATGGAGGTCCGAGCCTGGCTCTTGTTCAAGCTGATGCAAAGTAAATTGCTGCCCTTGTGTGATCTTATTTTTGTTAAATAATAACAGAAAGAGTAAGAATTTCAGAGACACACAGTCAGACCAGTTCAGTAACAAGGGTTACACAGAGACTTCTCTGTGTCATACTCAGTTACATTTAAACATAATGTGATATGATGCCTTTTAAAACAGTCACTCACTGCATGCTGTTTTCAAGCCAAGCACCCATGAATGAGTCTTAAGAGGTGAAAAAACTGCTAAAGGGAATCGTAAGCTTGATTATCTCAGACTGTCACACCTGCACAAAAAGATGACTTATCTCAAGATGACTTGTCTTGGAGATGAGTGCCAAAAAGATATTCACTGCTTTTTCCCAATAACCCTTTCAGAAAGAATAATCAAAGAGGTTTGGTAGTTGTTAAAGAGGAAGCCATGTAACAGGGTAGGATCAGCCCCTGAATATATATATTCTAAGCTCATTAAACTCCACACAACTCTGTAAACACTTGCCCTCCTAACTGAGGAAGAAACATGTTCCCTGCCTCTTTTCCAACTAGAATAATTGCAGTGTATTAGGACAGACAAGGTAGGTCAAAGCAAAGCCTGTTTAAAGTTCTCATTTCAACTGCACATTATGCACTTGTATTGTAATATATTCAAACTGACAGCTTCATTATGGAGAATTAATCTAAATTATGTCTAGACATATATTTGCAACCACAAGCATCACAGAGACTGCTTGGTGGCTGACTGCTCAGAGGAATTAAACAAGAAAATCACAGGCTTAAACCTTACAAATAAATGGTTGAATTGGTAAACCAAGGAATAAATGAGTTTAGGCCATGCTTCAGGAACAATACCAAAATCTTCTCCCTAGAATTTTACTACTTTACAGGCTTCTTTGTCAGTTTACCATTTTAATTGTCATTCCCTCGGCTGTAGGGATGCAACCCTGCTGTAATGCTACCACAGGCTCAGAAGCCTACACAGCAAGAGTGTAGGAAAGTCACAGCAAGCCATAGGAAGCATTACATGATTCCTCCTTCTGTGCAGTAAAAATGCTTGGATATGCCCATACTTTGAAAGAATATTGTGAATCTCCTATGGCTATTTTGAGTCAGGTGTGTCGGGAAGCTTAGCTATCATTTCAACATTAGTAAAGTTACAGATATAAATTTAGTGCTGTTCTACCATTAATGGTGATGGGGGAAAAAGGAGGCTTGTAGCTCACAATGTTATTATTTATTATTTGTAAGGACAAAGGCTTTAGGAACAAGGAAGATTTAGAACTTTCCATCTACAGATAATTTTATTACCCAGCTGTAAAATATCCACAACATTGCCAGTGCATCATGCATTTAATAGTAATTTTGAAGACTGACTGTATATAGTACTTCATCCTAAACTCACTTAAAGGTAAAAACTTGCAATTGCAGGGAAAGGAACAGCATATGAGAGGTTTGGTGTTTCACAGTGGCTGCGACTTTCAGTAGAGCTCTTCGGGCAGCTGGGCACACAGGAGATACCTAACTTGATGGCTGCATCTCCAGAGGAATCTCCATATCATCACAAAGCACCTTGCTGCTGAGTCATGACAGCAGTCCCCTGTGGCAACATGGGGACAGCAGGTTCCTGGCTCCAGAGAAAGTGAAATGCTCTCTACCCTAGTGTGGGATTAGTGGCAGGGGAGGGCCTCCTCCAGCCCATTTCGTTTGGAGATTTCCATCTGCTGTAATGCAATCTTCATGCAGCTGTCCAGAAGGGCTGGGGAGGGCTGAAGGAGGAAAGTGGGCTGAGCACAAGTAGGGGAGAATTAGATGCTGGGCAGGGAAAATGTGAGACTTGAGACTGCTTCAGCTTCAACACTCTGCGTCCCACAATGTTCTGGAAAGCACTGGTGATTTTTACACTTGACCCACAACAGTGAATTCAACTCCTTGACTTGCCTTTTTTCTTCATGGGGAAGCAGGAAAAATGAGCATAAGCACAGTCCTCAGTAACACGTCTAAACAGCTTCCCGCCTGGAGAAGGTTTTCACTTGTCTGACTCAGAGAGCAGGCAGAGCTACTGTCTGTGCAGATGTGCCTGCAGATAAACCAGGTGGAAACAGAGCAGTACAAGCATTGTACATGTCCTACAGAAATGGAGGTGAGATAAGAATGACGGCAACACTGGAAGGTCAAATTAATTTCTTAAGGTTACCCAAAAGGCCTGTGCCAAACACACCTCCTGAATCCTGGGTGAGTAATTGTGAGTGCAGTGGAGGTTTACGCTCTGGAACCCTGTTGCTGCTACCTTTAATAAGTGCTTTAAGTGCTCTGTTAGAAGTATTTAATAGTTATTTAGAAAGCAGAAGTAGAAATGTGAGCGAATGGCATTAGTTAGCCACTGCTAGATGTTGGCTTGCATTTCTGGTCCCTGCTGTTAAGGGAGGCTAAGGAGATACTAGAGAGGTTTCAAAGGGGATCCACAAAACTAGCTTGTGGGATGCCAAGCAGACTGTGGGAGATAAGACATAAGTCCCACAATTTATTCAGTTTACTGAATCAAAAAGAAGCCTGAGGTGATTTGAGTGTTTTGCCCAAGTGTTAGCACAGGGCCCATCTGTGAGTATCCGAGAATAGAGAGCTTTCAAACTTTTACTGACAAAGGCGTGACAAGATCCAATCACTGATAAATGTCCTTCAGTGGGAGAAACTCCAAATCACAGCCTGCAATCAGTGGTGAGTACCTCACATGATTGCCTTTAGGCTATGAAAGAATTCCTTCTCTCTGCCTCTAAGATACATCTTGATTACTTCACTACCCACCTACTACTTTCTGAAGTGTTAGACCTTGGTCACCACTTGGAAATAGGACCATGACATGGGCAGGAGGCACTATATAGTGTCAGCTTTATGCTTTGTGTATCTTCCTCTGGTGCTCAGGTTCACAGCAATGGCCAGATTTAGGGTAAGAAAAGTGTTTTACTCCAAAAGATAGTCTAGCAGGGTCTTGAGAGGTTTTTTTTTTCCTTTATCTTCAGCAAGGATTGCAGTTTGCAGGCTGGAATTCCTCACTAGCCCAGGTGTCTTCAGGGTGCAGATACTTGGTTGTCTCCTCTTTGTACCTGGTACAGAGCTTTTTCTCCAAAGAGCTGGAACACTTAGTATAACCAATACCTAGTATAACTGTAGTCTTTGGGACATGCAGGAATTCAAACGATTCTCTCAGACCAATAAGAGAATATCACCACCCAAGTTAAATTTTTCAAACAAAGTCACACAAAGTCCTTTTCAGTCACTGGCCCATCCTGACAATGCCAAACTCCTTGTGCAAGTCCCCCAGGCTGACAGCAATGAGCAACTTAAAGCCTGTCTCATTTCTGTTTCCCATCAGGATCAAGAAAATGGGACTCTTTCTGCTCATCTCGCCTTAATTAAACTTAATCTAGCTTCTGTTCCAAGAATATTCCAAATCGAGCTCAGTGCATTCAAAATGCAATGACAGTCGCTTTTAAAACATAGCTGGAGAAGAAGAAAGTCTTTACATCCATGGTAAAGGGTTAAAAAACCCAACTGAGTTGTGGTCAGTTGACACAGGTTTAATTGACCTTTCTCTGCCTGGGGGAATTTAAACTTCAGAGGAAGAAATCTTTGCTTCTGGCACACCTTTGAGCACTAGTTAAAAGGACGGTTACAAGCAGATAAACAGCCAAGATCAATCAGGGTAGAAAGTGTAATGTTCACTCAGTGTGTTTGAAGGAAGAGCACCGACATATCCTTTCTAATGTAAATTAAAGCCTAGGAATACTAAATGAAAGTAGTCAGATACCTGTCAGTAAGGAGATTTGGCATATAGGAGTTTTAGTCCGGTTGTCACAGTGCCCCACCAGTTTGGTTTCCCTCCTGCTTTTATCCACTCTGTGGCATGCAGGGCTCCCCCCTGCACTGTATGAGCTTGTGCATGGTAGTTCTTTCATGAACCTGAAGTTTTAAAGTTTTCAGAAATTTGCTGCTACATGAGAAAGAAACAAAGAAAGGCTATGCCAGAAGAAGAAACCTAAAACTAACTGTTGGTATATGATTCTGTAAGTTGCCTACAAGAAGTACCTGGGTTTTTACAAAATCTTTTGTCACAAATGAAGTAATTCTGTGAGCAAAAGGGAAAAAGGGGTCGTTGATGTAAACCAAGAATTATTGGCATGCTTCTTTCAGTCACATTTTTAGATTTTTTTTTAATTGGACACATCTAAGTGAGCTGTCTGTATATGTAGCTCTGTTTTCCCTTAGCTTTTGAACCTACTCATTGATTTGAATCAAATTCAAGACAAGAATAAAACCCTCTAAGGTTTTTACGGCTAGAACATTATTCTGGAGAGGAGTTGAAAGGTGAAAAGGTGCAAGGAGGGGGAACAAAAAAATCTTTGTATTTGTCTATTAAATCAGCCAAGAAATATAGCTCTGTAAGAAATCTGATTTGATGTTTTATACTCATTGCTTTTGTCTGACTTTCTCTTCCTTTCTGCAGCTCATATCCACAGTTTTGGAAGGTTCTGAGCCTCGCTTATAGACCCCCCCAAATAGCTTCTGTTCTTATGACCCTTTGCAGGAACTTTGCAGGAACAATACATCCAAGGGTTATCAAATTTGGTTCAAATCAGCCAGCAAGTTCTGTGACTGCTGAAGCAGAAAATATATGCAGAGTGCTGTTCCAGCAGAAATGGAAAAGCTTGTCAGCCCTGAAGCCATGAACAAATCACCTGATACCGGCCAGAGTTAATGAAAGGAGAAGCAAGCTACTTTACCAACTCCAACTTATTCCCCTTAAAAGAACAGGTTGAAATGGAGGCTAGTAGAAACTAGTTTGTTGCTTTTGAATGCTTTGATTTCTGCTTGTGA